GGTGGAGTTGTTAATGTTAGGTTAATGGTTGGACTGGATGATCTTGAAGGTCTTTTCCAACCTAAACCATTCTATGATTACAAGATGAGCAGGAGCAAGACCAACCCGCGTCTCCCCTTTTGGGGGAAGAACCGAGGTGCCCTGAGCCTGCCTCGCAGCGGTGACACGGTGCCCTCGTCATGCTTCGTGTCGTGTCCATGCCGCGAGAGGCTTCGGCGTTGGCTGCCTGCCTGATTAATGGAAGGGGGAAGCAGCGTATGGAGTTGGTTGTGTCTTGCTGCATTTTCTCTGCTAAGCCCATGGGTGAGAAACAGCACACATCGATACTGTTCAGGGCCTAGGTGACGTTCATAGGCAGCGGCCCTTATATTAACTCCCCTGCATCGCTGACTGGAACCTTCTCCCGCAGGGGAGTGCGTCTGGTGCAGGTATTGTCATGCTCTGGGTGGCCCAGGACATCCCATGGATCACCTCCAAAAGCCACTTCGGTCTTGTGGAGACTAGAGAGACCCCAGCTCCTTTGGTCCTGCCAGAAATGCTCCCATTTGCTATCAGTTAAAGGAAGGCTAAGTGTTATGGCAATAAAGGAACTGAACACAAATTTCCCAAATGGGATAGAGGCTTCAGAGAAGGCGCTGAACTCTGCCAAGCCAGTAAAACCTATTTGAGGCACTCTATATGCATAAACATTTTCTCCAGACCGTAATCGCCTTTCATGCTATATCCTAGGATTTCGTGGCACCTTTACCAAACTTTATTTTCAGGCAATTGTAACAGCAAAAGGGTAAAACCAATTTCATGTCAGAAACGACTAAATCAAATGCTGGTGGCAGAGGGAGGCTGGTTGCTGACAGACTGGATGAAAGACCATGCAGAAACTTCATGCTGGGTGTGCAGCGAGCATTTTGGAGATGTGTTCATGCAAGGTGCAGTTCAGTCATCGTGTCACACCTGAGTCTGGCTAGGCTTAAACGTGGGTACGTGAGCAGGCCCAGGATTTGTACCGGACAAATAGATAATGGCCTTTTGGTAGCGCTCTCTTATGACGGTCTTTTGACAAACACAGGTGGGAATAAGGTTCCCTCTGAGAGTTGCCCACCTGGCCTTCGAATCAACCCATCCTGGCACGTGAACTGGCGTGGACATAACCACGTAACTGTCTAACGTGACCTCAAACTTCCTGAAAAACTTCTAGAAAAACCTGTGTCTGATGTGCTTTCTTCCCAAGGTAGTTGCGTGCCTGTGTCTCTGAAGCCTGCTAATAATCAACTCAGCCTGGAATTTCACAGCGGTAGGCATGGCTGCTGTTTCAGAGCCAACTAAGGCACTGTAGCTTCGTGTAAGTGGTATTAGGTGTCATCATTAAAAAGTTTCACATCGGATTTTGGCATTTGAGATGTGTCTGTTGTAACAGACGGGTTTGGTGGCCAGTAATCATCCAAGCTCTTGTTTCTGTCAGCAGTCTTTTATGCGGGAAGGTCCCGAACCACTCGTGTTATCAGCATAATCATTCATCTCCTTGTTTCGTCTGCCAAAGAGAAAAGGGGCTGAGCTGGCCACGCTCTAGCTGAAGCTGCTGTGCTGCCAGCTGGATGACTCAGGGCTGGCAGGAAGAAGGTGCACTCTACATCTTACCGCTGCTCCAAAAAAAGCGAAGGATGAGTACCAAGCCTGGCAGCATTAGTCACCCTACTCGGTTCCCTGCTGCAAGCGTCCTGGGGTGCAGAGAAGTGAGGTGCTCGCCCGGAGCACGTGGGAGCGCGGATCGCATTGGGCAGAGGTGTTAACACCGCTGTGCAGCTGGGTTATGAGAGTTTGCCCTGATTTTGGAGAGGATAGCTTGGGATCTCGAAGCGAGACCCCAAATGACTACCACGTGTGGCCTTTTACCTACCATTCTTGATTGTCGAAGGACAGGGCTAATTTTTGACATGACAGTTTTCCTCACCTGTTTCTAAGCAATGCCCTGCAGCTCCCTGGGTGGAGATGTTCATGGCGGGCTGTGTCATTTACCCATCATTTCCACAGACATCAAGAGCCTGCTTTGCACCTTGGTTCATGACAGAGCTGCGATTGCATCTGTACATCCAGTCTGGGGAGGTGCAAGTGATTAAAGGTCTTTTCCAACCTAAATAATTCTATGATTCTGTGATTTCCCACTTGGGCACGAGAAAGTCTGGCTCTGCCTTCGCATTCACTGCTGCATTTCGCAGACTGCCAGCCCCGTGTGTAAGGAGGCGGTGAGCAAGGCTGGGGTTTGAGGGAGGTACGTGTGCGCCTGTGCGGCTTCGGAGGGGCTCGGTGGCTCTGGTCGGTGGGTGTTACTGATGGCTAGCGCCAAGCATTTCCCCTCCCCGGGGTCCTGGGGGCCTCTGACTCCATGGGGGTGTCACAAATGCCGGCAGAGGTGTGAGCAGCATGGAGGGAGGGTTGTGTGGCTGCGTAGTCAGCTGTGCCCTGGGTGTAGGAGGTGCAGGTAGGATATAGAAAGAGGAGGTGAACGTGTGTGTGGTGTTAAACCCAGCTTGGGAAGCTTTCCGACCTGCTGGCTAGAAACCCTCTGAGAGTGCGGCGCAGGCAAAACTGCGGAGTATGATGGGTGCAAGGGAGGGCTTTACCCAGCCAGGCTTCCCTGCTTCTTCCTCTTGAAGACACCGTCTCCCAGGAGCAGCTCAGTCTAGACACCTTATGGCAGCCCCACGCTGAGGGAATTTGCTAACTCATGGCTGGCCAGGCCAGGCTCCCGCGGCGGTCTCGGCGCTTGGAGATGCAGCTGTGGCTTGCCATGCATCCTTTGTGCAGGATCCCGTCTGATCTTTTGTGCAGGATCCCATCTGGTCCTTTGTGCAGGATCGGTACCGGTTATTGCTCTACAGCATCCCCTCTGCCCTGGCTGTCCATTATATATACTTTGCTTCAATGCTTTATTTCTCGTTTTTCCCTCATTAGCTGGCTAAGATGCAGAGCTCTGCGCAAGCCTGTCTCGGAGAGAAGGAGAGGGTGTCTGGTGCATGCTCAAAGCGATGCTGCCTTACCCAGCCTCCTCAGAGCCTTGCTGATGATCGCTGGCTGCTCGTCGTGCGGCAGAGGTAGTTCAGCATGAATACAGCGAGCAGAAGTCATGTCACAGAGGCAGCCGTGCTGAATGTGATAAATGCAAGGGAGACTGCAGCTTGGAGAGAGATTTCTTTCTTTGCCAGTGCCGTTTGCGGAGGGCAGATAAGCTTCCTGGAAGCTGAAGCTCTCTGGAGAATGTGCAGAGGGATCAAGCCTGACTGTAAGGTCTGTTCAGCGCTTGGCTCATGGTATCGTCGGTGGCACTGTGATATATTTGTAATGTAGACAGCTGGGGTGAACACAGAGTCAGAAAGGATCCGCACTGCTATTGCTGCTGGTCGAATTAATCCCTAGAGGGCTGCTGATAAGCAGCCTAACCTGGCTGATAGAGGGATGCTCCGTTCCAGGGAAATAATAAGTTAAAGCTTCCCACCAAACCTCTATTTTCTCTCCTTGGTAGTTTCTGTTTTTCCACACAGTAAAGTAACTTGGTTCAAATACCCTCAGAACAGCAGCACCGCATGACATCTGTGTATTTTAGCGGGGGGATCTGCGCCCAGGCTGCAGCCCCTGCTTTTCACGGGCAGTGCTTGGATAGGTAGAGCTCCTGGGATCCAAGAGAGCACAAGAGCAGGGCTGGCAAAGTGACTTTCTCGGGGTCTGGTTAGGCAGCCTGTGTTTGCAGATGATGCCATGGGTCATGGCTGCGTTTCATTCTCTGGAATGAAACGTATTTATTGTGCAAACTCATTTAAGGAAAAAGCTGACTTCATTAGTTGGTCTCCAGAAAGCAGTCAGCGTTTCTGTGACCTGTTCTTCCGTAGCGAAGGAAGAACAGGCTTAAGCAAGCACTCACCAAAGGTACGCTGCATAGGTAGTGACATGCAATTCACCTAATTTATTCTTCTGTAGGAGCTTAAATATGTTAGACGTTGGCTGTCAGTCCATATGCAGGCGCGATGTGAAATACGCTGGTTTAATTTATTTAATTTTAACCAAAAAGAAGTCCTAGAGCCGTTAAAGAATGCTTTATTTTTTCTTTAGACTCTAATAAATTGAGCTGTATGTCCTGTATTATGGGACATTGGGCCATTTCCTTGCTGCTGTCTGACAGCCCAGTAAGAATGAATGCAAATTCTGATCTCCTTCACCTTTCCACTTTGAATCACCATATGGAAAAGAGACGTGGATTCCACCCCGCTTTAAAGTCATGGAAATGAGCTGTTATGAAATGGGGAAAAGGAACTGTATCCTGGCAATTTCTGAACGAGCAGCTTGAGAATTGACGTAATTGCAAGGCGCCGGGAGAGAGCCGACAGAAAGGAGGAGTCAAGTTAGAAAACGTGTAAAAACAAGAGTGTGTTTAGGAAAGCTTAGCTCTCCTTCCTTTCCCTTTTGGGCAGATGATGTTTTGCCATTGCCAGGTACAACTTCCTTCAAAGCAGATAACTAAATTATGCCAGAAAGGCCAATTAAAATAATTGATTTCCAGTAATGCACAGCCATCTTATAAAATAATCTCTGGCTCTCCAGTATGGCAGATCATCTTATAAACAGAACATGGAAGTTTCATTACATGGAAATAAATATGAAAGATAGGGTTTTGTCTGCAGGTGGCATGCATGAAAGAAGCAGAGATAACAGGGCTGAAATGAGTTCAGAGACCTCCTTAATATCTCCAGTGAACTGGGAAATCAACATATCCTGCTCATAATACTTTGTATTTTGCCCCTGGGTTGTGCAAACAGCCTGGCTTTCCAGGTGACAGAGGCAAGGACATCCCCTAGGAGACCACGGCCGCTTTGGAACGTTACCTGCGTCCAGAGACATTCTCCCAAAATCTGTCAATATCTGCTAAAGAAAAAAGTGCTCCGTACAGATTCTGACGTTTTGAAGGGACAACGCAATCTCTTCCCCTCTGCGCTGGTTGTCGCTCTTTCCAGCAGCTGAACCGGAGGGAGAGGAAGACCCGGGAGATCCCGTCCACGCACCGGCAGCAGCAGGAGAGGGAATCTGGCACCAGCTGCCCCTCTGGTAGCAGGGTGGCAGGGACGCTCCTCAGTCCCCTGTCACAGTGCTCAGATCCTTAACCGGGACTGGCATTCCGCTTTCTGAGCTGGGGATGTGCGTGCTGCCTTTCCCTGTGCCTGGAGCCCGCAGACAGCGGGGTTTGTGCCCATCTTGGTACCCAGCTGGGTGCTCTGCCTGCAGCTCCCATTGCTGCTAGCGCCGGACGACTAAAATGCTGGTCCCCCTTGCCCTCTGTCTGCGTGCCCGGAGGTGGGACTTGTCCGGTCTGGGGAGGTGGCACAGCTATTTCACCTGCGCCCCTGATGGCCTGGCTAGAGTCAGAAATGGTTAGATTTAATTCGATTTACAAATTTTTTCCTGCCTCTGCCATGAGTCATATCCTATACAAGGATCTCTCTGCCGTCCTTTCTGCGCAGCTGTAAAAAGAAAAAAAAAAATTGGACTCAGTTAGCTGAGCAGGGCGTTGGGAAACACCGCGGGAGAGGAGGTGTTTCCTATTGTAGACTTTATGTGGCACTTGCAGCATGGCGGCGCTTAAAAAGGGCACACGAGCCCGTGGCCCTTTGGCACCTGTCCATACGTACGTGTTGGGGAGATCTTAACGCTGGAAACGGTGTTTGGTGTGCGCAGCAAGAGGCCTGGCTGCTCTCAGAGGCCTTCATTTTTCAAGTCATGTGGCAATGTGTGCCTGGATTCTGGGTCCGTGTATGTGAAATGGGAATTTTTTTTTTTTTTTTTTCCTGGAGGCTTCTAAGCAGTGACATGGGGCAGGAGCTGGTGTTTGAAGGGAGCTTGGTGCTGCTGGTCCCTGGCTGCTGCGGTCTGGTGGAGATTCTAGCTTTTCAGAGCATTTGGGACTTTTGTTTTGCTAAAAACCTCCAAGCATCGGGAAGAAAAGATCTTTGTCTTTCAGCTGTGAGCAAAGAAAGCTCGTAGTATATGTCTGAGAGCCACCAGAAATCCCCTAGCAACCAGGCTTAATGATCCCAATATTTCATTGCAGGATCATAGGAAATCAGAAACTCGTACAAAAGCGCTGCTGTTATTTAAAATATGAAGTTGCTGCTGGAGGCTTCTTTATAAAGAGGCCCAGAATGGGCAAACCCCATTCCTCTTGGTATTTATAGCTTGCCTTTTAGTATGTGCACACATAGTCCTTGTGCTTTGAAACAGCTGGGACTGACTGAAAACCGGGTCCCCGAGGTCAGGGTCTGAAACAGAGACCGAGGAGTTTTAACTTCAGGCTACCGTCTTTGGAAACTTGCAGCCTGAGCCAATGAACCGGGAAGTTTTTGTAGAAATGTGGGGGAACTTTCCATCACACGCTCCCTTCCCTGCTGGCGAGGAGATTTCACATGGCTGTAGGTGAGCTGACTGGCATTAATCACCTTCGGCATCTCTTTCCTGTGCTGGGAAGTTTGGAGACAATGAAAGGAAAATTACTGGAGCTGGCCTGCTCTTTGCAAACCCCAGGGCTGGAGCGTCTGCGGATAGCAGGTCTTAAAATGCACCCGTCTCCCGTATTGCGGCAGGTACACAAAGCAGCCCAAATGGACCAGGAGGCCATTAAAAGCTGTAACCATCTCAGCTGCGTTGGCCTGGAGCATCGTGTGGGCGGTACGTATCTGGCACGCTGCCATTGCCGAGCGTGGATGCAGTGACCGAACGCTGGGTCCCTGCCCGTCCCCTCCAAAGGCTCCTGCTGCAGCATCGTCCTCGTCACTTCTCCCCCGTCCCGGCGGGGCGGTGAGTCCCTCTTGTAAGGCCGTATGAATGCTACGCAGCCTGGGCAGCGCTCGCCTCTGTGCCGGAGAGCAGCTCCGCGAGGAACCTTGCCATTTCGAAGTGGGAAAGTGAGCCGGTGCCTGTGCTTTGCGTATGCTTTCCACTTGGGAGTGAAGAAGTGGCTTTTATCAGGATGGGCGTGTGTCTTCGTGGCCTGGTTCCTGCTGGGGCTGTCTCGGGGGAGGCCGTCGATGAGGTCGATGGCAGAACCAGCCGATTACGCTTTGAGCATTAGTGCAGACTGCGGATGGAGCAGGACTCTGCTGTTGCTACAGAAACAGCAGTCGCACAGGATGCGTAAAGGCAGCGTCCTTTGATAGAGACCTGAGGCACTTAGACACCTCAGCTTGAATGCTCCATCCGTTTTTGAGACAGCCTTCAGGAAGGACCTGGTGGGGAGCGTCCAGAGGAGAGCAGTCAGATGCCTAGACGACGTGGTAGCAAGGGATGATCGGGGGGCTTGGACTTCTCTTTTGTAGCATAGAAAAAGCTGAGGGAGGTGTTATGGCAGGCTTTGTGTAGGTAAGGAGTTGTTGCAGGCAAGAAGAGAGTGATCTGTTCTCCATGTCAACTCTTGTAGGACAAAAAGAACTCTTGTAGGACAAAAAGTAATGGGTGCGTTTGGTCAAGGGAGATTCCAGCAGGGAACTCTCTGCCTGCAGGGAGCATGCGGACAGATGGCCCCAAAGTAGCATGGAGTCTCCATGGAGATGTCTGAGGACAGGTTCAACAGACATCTGCCCTGAACGATGCTGGTTTGGGATGGATATTTGGGCTAGCTGGCCTGTTACCGCCCTGTCCAGCCTTCTTATCTGATTCTGCACTTTGCAGAAGAAGGAACCTAACAGCTTTTGTTTTACTTGTTTACGCAGGTAGTTTTGCAGAGAAGACTTACGAGTGGAGCTCGGAGGAGGAGGAGTCCGTGAGGAAGGCAGGACCAGTGCAAGTCCTCATTGTCAAAGATGACCATTCCTTCGAACTGGATGAAGCTGCACTGAACCGCATCCTCCTCTCAGAGGCTGTCAGAGATAAAGAGGTTGTGGCCGTGTCCGTTGCTGGAGCTTTTAGGAAAGGAAAATCATTCCTGATGGACTTCATGCTGCGGTACATGTACAATAAGGTATGGCTCTGGCTCAGGTGGCTCTTCCCAGGGGTATGGTGCTGCTGCTCGTTGCTCCCATGGCCGAGCTGGACAGGACACTGGCTTGGTGCTCTAGGAATGCTCAAGCCTCTCATTAGCATGGGCTTCACAAAATAAAACAGAGCAGATCTTTCCACATCCCTGTGCACCAGTGCGTCTCTAGTGGGCTCTTGACTTTGGAGCAGAGATGTTCATATTTGCTGCCCTGTAGGAAACTTCTCTTATAGGGGCTGGCCCCCCGCGCCGGCACTGGAGTGGAGGCAGCACAGAGGAAAAGTGTAAAACCAAAGTGAGATGAGAACTCCAGCAACTTCTTATGTTCCTACCTGCAGGAAGCAGTGGACTGGGTTGGAGACTACAACGAGCCTCTGACTGGTTTCTCCTGGAGGGGAGGGTCTGAGCGGGAGACGACTGGCATTCAGATATGGAGTGAGGTTTTCCTGGTGGACAAGCCCGATGGGAAAAAGGTGTGTGCTTCTCTGTTGCACAGCTGTCTGTTGCTGGTCAACTCGTTTTTCTCTTCCAGCTTTTTGTAAGACTCTCCTGCCTTGTCTTAGGTGGCTCAAATGCCTGTGCAAGTTTAGAGGTGGTCTTCAATACCATATTCCTAATTTAGCATGAATGGGTTTAATGCAATGAGTTGATATGATGTCTAGGTGTCCCTGATAAGCTCTCTAGGCGTCCCTCTAACTCTGGGCATCCCAGAGTTTATTTCTCTCCTATTCCCAGGGATCTTGAATCTGAGGACCTTGCAAACTACTCCCCTTTCCTAGAGCAGTAGCTGTAAAATGGAGTGTCTTCATTCAGGGTGGTCAAATACAATGCAAACTGGATTTTGGGGCATCCTGCAAATTCAACTTATAGCCAGGAATGTTTGGATTCATCTACTCTTTAACAAAGAGCCCAACACCAAAATGACACTGAATTATTCACGGTGTGTTTTCTAATGCTGGCTGAATGTGTTTGGGGTTAAGGAGGTGCGATATGCTGCCGTGTTTGGCTTCTGTGACATGAAGCTAATGCAGGTTCAGGAAAAGGCCCATCTGCGCTGACAGCAAGTATTTGAGGAGCAAAGCAGTTCCCTCCTCTGCATTGCATAGCATTCATTTCGCTGCCTGCTGGAGTCGTCGCGCTGTCAGGAGTGACTGGGGCTGCTCTGTTCCTTTGTCCTCCACCGATTATAAGTCTGAGGCAGAAGCGGTGAGATTCCCAGCACAATAATGCAGCTGTCATTCACCCCCCACACACACCTTTTTGGCATTTGACAGTGCTTTTGCTTGGATGTAGATGCTGAACGGGTGCATCCAAGCTGACGTGGAGCTTTCTGCCTCTCAGGTTGCAGTGTTGCTGATGGACACGCAGGGGACCTTTGACAGCCAGTCCACCCTGCGGGATTCGGCCACCGTGTTTGCCCTTAGCACAATGATCAGCTCGATACAGGTAAGAAGGGGGATGTCTCCAGGAATTGCTTCCTAAAAGGTGGTGGCAAAAACCCAGTAGCTTGGCAGTAGGCTAACACAGCAGCTAGCCAGGGCCTTTGGTGGGAGAGACAAAAAGCCACCGTGTCGGCTGCACTGAGTGCAGGATTCGCCTGTGACTCCCTCATCACGGGGAACAGTCTCATCTCCTCATCTCACCCCAAGAGCAGGGCCAGCAGCAGATGCACCCCTTTGCTTCCAGCTCCCAAAGAGGAAAGGAGCTTGGTCTGGGGAACTGGGTGTGCTTTTGTCTCAGTGCTGCTGGAGAAACCTCAGGGCTGGAGGTGTTCACACACCAGTAACCGCACAGCCTGTTATTAGGGCTTCCCTTCCTACCATCTGGCCTTTGCCCTTGGAGGACAGCGTGAATGGGATGGAAGCTGTGTCTTGGTACAGATCTCAGCACATCATAAAAAAGGGGAAGAAGGAACATTACTTGGACCTGACAGGCTTCCAGGCTGGGGCATGACAGCCTGTGGTCATCCCGCGGGCTGTTTTGCTGCACAGGGAGCAGCAGTGCCTGTCTGTCTGATGGTGTGAGTCTGTTCAGCAGTACAGTGCTTGGGGCCTGTCTTGTACCAGCACCGCGGGCCAGCTGGGACTTTGGCTGTGTCCCCATGGTAATGTCGTAGGCTTTAACCACACCGACCCACGTGTTGGCCTGAAGGACAGGCCATTCCGAGTGCTCTGAAGTTTTTGTTTTTAAATGCAGGTTTATAACTTGTCCCAGAATGTGCAGGAGGATGATCTGCAGCACTTGCAGGTAAGACCTTTGTCCCTGCTGCTCCACAGCACTGGGATGCCTGGATTGTGCTTCACACTTGCAAGCTGTGTTGCTCTGGAAAGGCACATTTGCATTTGGAGCCACAAAAGGCTTTTTCAGTTTCCCAACTTTCATATTGGTTCATGGGCATGGAGGAACAGTCTCTTGGGTTGACACCTGCCTTGCCTACGCTCTCGTAGCATGGCTTCTTGGGGGCCTGAGTCCTTTGGCAGGGCAGTCAATGGGAACTCGCCAGGAGGGACCTGTTCCTGGGACGCGTGGCCTTCAAGGCCGATCGCCTGTGGAGCTGGAAATGGCCTACGGCTGTGCTTCGCGCTGCAGCGGGTGGCTGGAGGGCACGGAGAGGCTGGAAGAACCAAGGCTGTTAAGTCGAGACAAAAATGACCGAGATGGGAGGTGGTGACGGTTTTCAGCTGTGTATGAGGCTGCTGAAAAGTGGAGAGCAGTATCTTTTCTTATGTCCACAGCGCGTGGGACCAGTTGTCATGGGTGGTGCTGCAGCCAGAGAGGGTTAAGTTGACTTTTTAATGGCTCAGGTTAGAGGAGCATCAAACAGACTGCGTAGGGCAGAGTATCCATCACAGACCATCTCGGTGTGGAGCACCCGTGCCAGGTCTGCCGGGAACAGTTTGGATACAGCTGATGCTGGCCTGTGCGTGTTTCCATGGGATTACACCGAGCTTCCTCGGGAAGCGGGGACCCATCAGAGGCCAGGACTGACCCGTGGGGCTGGAAACACACAATGACTTGCAGCAAGGGGCTAAAGTGCCTGGTAATAGGGAGGGATCCGGGGTAGTTAACCATGTATTGGCTGTACTCGCTGCTGCGAGCGTCCACCCACTGCTCTGCGAGTAGAGGCAGTAAAAGCGCTCGTTTGACTTCAGTGATGGGGAAGCTGAAGGTCGAAGTTGCACTGTTCATGCTGTAGGACGGGATCGTGGGATTGTTAGGAGAAGCCCAAAGAAACTGGGTAGCCATTTACAGGCCTGGATATCGACATCTGGTACTGGCTCAGTACAGGTGACCCCTAAGGGTAATTACAGCCCTGACTGTTGGAGACAAGCAGCTAATTGGATTTTTGTGGCCCATGTGTCCTGCCCATTTCCTGGTATTACCTCTAGCTTTCTCTTCTGTTTAGGTGGTTGATTGATTGGTTAAGTAGTTTTTTCCAGGAGCTTAAGAAAAAGGAAAGAGAAGCAAAAGCCCAGCTGGAAAAATCAACATTTGAAGAATTTTGTATCATTTCAGTCAGTAAATCTTTTTAACAATAATGCCTTTTTAACATTGAACTTATCCAATGCAACTCTGATCTTTCAGTTTGGATTTTAAGCCATTATTGTTTAACATGTTGACCCATTTCTAGGCATCTGTGAAATACATTATTGTGCCTTCAGTTAGAAATTACAGTCCAGAGAGACTGGAGAGCCTTCAAATCTTGCTGGTAGGCTGATCTTACAGTCTTTGCACAGTGGGGGTTTGCAGGGAAAGTACTTATTTCTGAATTAATTTCCACTTCTTCTTGGAGTGTTTAAAAGGGAGCGGGGCTCCAGCAGTCCCCTGTAGCACGTGAAGTTTCTGGTTGGTATGAAAGCAACAGCAAGCAGCTGATTTGAGCTGTTTTTCACAGCCAAAAAATTCCAGGCTGAGATATTTCACGTGAAGGCTCAGCACAGTGATTGTAACAGCTCCGTGTGCCTCTCGGACGTGAGCCGAAAGCATGCAGCCAGCCAGTTTCTGTTCCAGCTCTGCAAATGGTGCTGTTAGCCCTGAGTCAACAACCGTCCCCTTGCTGCGGTGCCTGTGGCCCACAGCCCATCTGCCCGGCCGTGCAGACTGACAAGCTAACGGTCCTGTTGTTCTTTGCTTCTCCTTCCAGCTTTTCACCGAGTATGGCCGGCTGGCCATGGAGGAGACATTCTTGAAACCTTTCCAGGTGAGTCCGAGGGTCCTGGCCAGCGCACGTCCCCTCCGCCGGAGGTGGCTCGTCCCCGAGCCGGTTGGCTTCACCACGAGGTGTCACTGCAGTTTGCAGGACGGGGAGGAGATGGGGATGCCTGGGGACTGGTTCAGATGCAAAGGAAAGGCTTGGTGCTTCCTCGCCTCCAAAGAGGCTTCCAAATACATCCACCATCCCTCATTCTTTCCTCTCTGAACCCTTGCCGTGCCGAGAGCTCTGCCCTGCCCTGCCAGATGTCCTGCTGGGCTTGGAAAGCAGTCAGGTTTTACAGCGTGTTTGTCACGCCGTCTACCCGGGGACTCTGCCCAGCCTTTGCTCAGAGAGGTTTGAACCCGCTTGCCCCGGGAATCCCTGCTCCTGGCAAAATGAAAGGACGAGGATTAGCTCAGAGCTCTCGCGAGTGACAGCAGAGCTGTGGAAAGGCTCGGTTTAAGTGGGGTTTTAACTTCAAATAAGGGACATCTGTTCGCCCTGCTGCTTCCCAACCTGTGAAAAGCTGGCGTTCAAAAAAGGGAGAGCGTTGGGCAGACAAGAGCTTGCTCTGGACACCAGAGCTGTGAGCAGCTGGGAGGATGGTGGGCTGTGACAGCCCCTTCCAGTAGGAAAGTGAATATGAACAAAAAGAGACAAAGCAGAAGGTATGGGGGCAGAAGGAAGCCATGCTGTGGCTGTGGCAGGTCACTAAAGCTCCAGTCCTTTAACAGGTCAAGTAATGATTTCGTAGGGCTTTGATTACAGCTGCATCGAATCCTGTGCACCTGGGAGGCTGGGAAGGTGCTTGAACCGGTTTTGAAGCTTTGGGGGCGGTCTGTGGGACCAGGGGGGAGGCAGGGAGCGGGGCCTAAGGGGATGGAGGGAGCGATGCTGTGAGTTCCCCGCGTGTCCTCACGCTGCAGTGGAGCTGCAGGGCTCATTGCATGGTTGGGGTGGTAAAAAGAAGGAAAAAAACCTTCTGTGGGGCTCTGGCCTTAGCCTGTACAAGTTGTTCCTCTGACCAGATGCTCTTTGGCAGTCCCAGTGGCTCCGTCCAGCTTCCAGCTGGCATCCACAGTAGATTAGGTGGTAGCTGGATGGGGGGTTGTTAGCTTCCCAAAGTGGAAAAGAGCAGAGAGTGAAACATGCTGTAAAAATGCAAATAGTAATTGGGAATGGGTTACAGTTATTTTACTTTTGCCTTCCAACATAAAAAGAGAATTGCCATCTCTACCACCATCCTGGAAGGCCTAAGGGGTTTATAGGGTGTCTGTGGTCAGGAAGTGGAAATAAAATTAAAAGGTTAAAAAATACAACAAATGGACAAATTGAGATTTTGGGGAGCTTTGAGGGTACATTGGATGCTGGCATGGGCAGATGTGATAAGCAATGTGAAAGCTACCAGTAAAAGTATATGACTTGTAGTAGCACGAGCTAGGAGAAGATTGTAACATGGTACAGAAGAAAGCCAGACATTAAATAAATATTCCTTTTCCTTATTTAAAAACTATCAGGATGATGTAGCCAAGTATTTCAGTGAAAGTGAAATACTTCCTACTCCATCAGTAAAAAGGAGGCTGTAAGGGGAAACTTTTAAATATGCTTAAGTCATTAGGACTGGATAATAGGCTCTGATTTTAACAAAGACTGTAATTGCTGTCAAGTCACACAATTTTGTGGATAGCAAGTCTTGTCAAACGATCCCATTATCAATTTTTAAAAGATCATGAGTTCGGTTGATAAAGGTAACTGTCACCATGATATGTCGCCTTCTGTAAGCCTTATCTCCCTACGACGCTGATTAAAAGCCAGTGAACAACATACCAAGTCAGCATTGTCTGTTTTAATCCATTGTAAGTGGATTAAAAACTCATTAACTGATAGATGGCAGAGCACGCTGAACTAATTTTAATAGGGAATCATCATCCTTCAGAAGTGTTTCCTTGGGGTTCCCCCCAGGGTCTCGCTGATTCCCTGTCATCTTCATTAATGATCTGGGGGAAAATATCAAACCGCTGGTGGTAACCCTTGCGGATGTGATAAAATTTGGTAGAAGGATCAGTGGTGACGTGGCCAGGTGAGCAATGGAGATCTCTTGTGCACATCGCAAAGTGGGCTTGTCCCTGCAAAGCATGTTTTTAGAGACAGCCAAGCGTTTTGATTAGGAAGCAGGAGCAGGGTGATGGTAAATAAACTGCTTTTCCAGTGGGGAGGACGAGGCGGCGTGCAGCTCAGCGGCTTGGCAAAGTCAGCCTAACAGCGAGGAGCACACTGTTAATGAGGGGGCAATTTAATAGGATGGCTTAACGAGAGATGCAGGGGCTTCTCTGGTAGCTGCAGGCTTTAAACCGAGACAGCTCTCTTTGCAGAGGAGAGTCTGGAGTTTCTTGGGTGAGGTTCCAGGCCTGTAAGTCAAACAAGCTGAACCTCTTTTGTCCTTAAAACACATGAATCTGTAAAGGAGGCTTTGGAAAACAGCTCCTATAGGAAAATGCTGCCAAGCAGGGAGAGCACTGAAAGTGTCGATAGCGAGGCAGTTGCATTGATCCTGCTGGAAGGGAAGTAATACTTGGCAGTGGAAAATTAACATTTCCCTTTGGCTCCCTCCTCTCCACGGTGCGTCCTCACGCTTGCCGCCTGCGCGAGACCAGTTTGGGTCTTTTTGGGTCAGTTTTGTAGCCGCCTGCGCACCCCCGTGCACCTCACCCTGGTCGTGGTGCCTAGGCTGGAGGGGCCGAGGGTGGGTATGAGGCGCGGTGAAGACGGCGCGTCTGGAACAATTTTTGCTTAAAAAGAAGGAAAATCGTTCCCGAGTCAAACAGCGCAAGACATGCATAATGTGTTTGTGGAAAAGTCCTAAACATGGACATGTCTCCTAAGCATCTCACGGGCTTAGAAAGAACAGCGTGTCCTGAAACAGCTAACTGGGTGCAGTTGCTGTGGCTTGTCATGCAGTTAGGAATGGCCAGCTCACTCCTCTCTCATTTTTTTTTTCCTTTCCTGATGTTTTATGGAAGAGAAATAAGGAGGGGAAATATTTTCCCTCCCTCCCCTAAATCTTTCTTCTAAACATAGCCAATTTTTAGGGAAATTCCAATGAAATGGATTCCACTTGCTGACCTGCTTATTCCTGTGCAGGAGAGAAACCCTGGCACCCTTGCCAGGCCCTCCTGGGCTTTGGCCTTCAGGGCTTCCCCCTCCAAACCATGTATTTGTTACACGGGACGTAGGTCCCTTGCACAGATGAGACACTGGAGACAGGATTTTTTCTGAAAAACTTTTATTTTTTTTTTAAAAGATTAAAAGTTGACCGTACTGGTATTTATTTATTTATTGCATAGGAACTTTGAATGCCTCAATAAAGATTACAAAAGCCAGTAATTTCTTATTCACCCTCGTTATCCTGCATCTGCTTCTCATTAAAAGTCTGTCTGGAAGGCTGCCCAGTGAAAAAGGCTGAAAAAATGAGCCTGTAAAATTCCCATAGGATGGAACTAAATGTGGCTGGAATTAGGGAGCTCGTTGCCTTTTGTCCTGGTTAGCAAGAATCTCTTTCTTGTTTTGCAGTTTAAATGATTGAAGCTATTCTTCAAGCTAGGGAATCAAACTGCCACCCAGCAAACCCGTACGGCAGTCTGGGGTTTGCTCCCCGCTTCCCCCTCGTAGGACACGGCCACGCGTGCAGCGAGTCTGCGCGGTCTCAGCGCCATGGGATTTCCACCGGTAAAGGTGTGAGTCGCCGCTGCAGCCGGGCAAGACGCAGGGCCAGGTCTCGTTGCGGCACGAAGGTGGGGGCGAGGGTGCCGGGGGGTCCTGCCACCGCTGCG